ATGGTGCAGGGCAGGTCACTGCCATGGTCTCCCCCCCCCCCCCCTCGTCACAGTGCTACTTCTCATACGAAAAACACAGATTAACTTATTGTGAACAGATTAACTTTAAAAAGGTTAACTTGCTATACCTCCAAGCCCAGGTAAGAGAGAGAAGAAGAGAGGTCCTATATAAGATGAAAACAGAAGACAGGCAACAGCCAAAGAGACTCAGCATCTAACCAATGAGAGAGGGGCCAACTGCCAAGTGTACCTGAGTGAGAGAATTCTCTTAACCCTTTCTCTCCCAAATCCTCCTGCATGCAGAATTACACCATCCAACATAAACAGTTTTTTCCATTTCCCTGGATTGTAGCATTATAGCGTTGCTCAGTAAGTAAAAGGGGTATTTCAGGGCCATCGGGTTCCCAATGCTATCTCTGTAGCACCTACACTTTTACACAGGTATGATGGAAGAATGCAGCATTTAGGAAGCAACACAGGGATCAGGGTGTGGTGTGGATGTCATTCCCATACCTCTTGCTGCTATGGTGTGTGTGTGCGCGCGCGTGTGTGTGTGTGTGTTGTGCCCTTGTAGGGAAGAAACAATTTGTAGTCCTGTTTAATGGCTCTTTTTGCACACTGAGAACATCAGAGGCAGACCTGACCTGGTTAGCCCAGGCAAGCCTGATCCTGTCAGATCTCAGAAGCTAAGCAGGGCTGACTCTGGCAAGTACTTGGAAGGGCGACCTCCAAGGAATACCAGAGGCAGGATGCAGAGGCAGACTAATCAAGCCACCTCTCTGAAAAATGTCCAAGCCCCCACTAGGGGTCACCAGAAGTCAACCATGACTTCTGGGCAAGCACACAAACACGCACATGTGTGTGTGTGTGTAAAAAAGAACATTAGAGACTGTCCTACTTGTATGCCTCTCATTATCTAAGGCTGGATTGATTTCAGCAGGGAACAGGGCTTTTTCTGTAGTAGCCCCCACACAGTGGATCACATGATATAAAATGTAATTAGAAAGCATGACACATCCAGTAAACAATTCGGTAAAATTAGAAAAGGTAGAAAAACATTGCATAAATAAAAAGGTATTATATATTATATTTATTTAGAATATAGATATCCTGCTTTTCTGACCTTAAAATGACACACTAGATGGCTCACAGAATAAAGTATTCCCCGCCCGCCCGGCCTGGCCTGCCTGCCTGCCTGCCTGCCTGCCTGTCTGTCTCCGTTCCCCCGCACGCAAGCCCGGTAGGTCGTAGAGCGTTGCACTTTCGGGGGGATTTAAACATCCCCCCGAAATTTTTTTCAACTTTATTTTTGTGCACACGTCGGGACTGGCCCACGTGTGCACAAACCTCCCCCGGCCCCCCAAGTGCCCCCGAAGTGCAGATATAGATATCCGCACGGAGGGGGCAACTTGGCTATTAGTATAAGGATATTTATTTAGCGTATAGATATCCTGCTTTTCTGACCTTAAAATGACACACTAGGTGGCTCACAGAATAAAGTAAACATGCATAAAAATATTTTTATAATTAAAACATTCAAAACTCTTAAACTAACAGCACAATAAAATGAGCTAAAACATTAAAATAGTGAAAGGAGGAAACACTAGAACAGTACTGAGACCATCAATAGACACTAAAATTCCCAGATTGCTATAATTTAATTGTTGATTTTGTTATCCTATATTACCTGCCTTGCAGGGACTAAGAACTGGAGCTACAACTCAAAATCTAAATCTTAAAATTAATATCCCCAACCTTACGGGGGGATATACTTAGCAGGGACATACTTTAAAATAGTCAGTTAAATCAAATGGGTGTGTTTTCAGCCCCAAGAGCTGCTTTCACTGCTTTGCGTTGTCATCTCAGATTCCTTTGCAGACAAAAGCCTTCTAAGACCATAAACTGTGAGGAGGACAGAAGACTGAATTATCTTATTGGACATGCCATTTGTTTCCATTAAAGAGTGACCTCTTCTGGACACTGTAGAAAAATGCAGCTTGGAAAGTCAGTGGAAGCAGTGATGCATTTTATCTGTTTCCTTTCTTCTCTTAAGAAGCATTTGGATATCTCATTAACTCCCGGAACAAGTGTCCTGCAGGCTGCAACACCTTAAAGACAAGTGGCTTAATTGTGGCACAGTGTTTTCTGCATAAGACAGTAAACGTGGAGTATCATTAACATTAAGACTGCCTTCAGCCCTGCAGAAAGTGATGATAATCTTTGTCTGTCTACTCCAGCCAACATTGTAATGTTGTTGTTGTTTCTAAGTAAGAGGACAGAATAAATGGGCTTGGCCATCCCAAAGCCTGTCTTCGTGCTGAGTTCTTGTTGACCTGTATTTTGAGGACATCCCTGTTCTGTTTGACACTCCTGGCTTAGGGACTTTGAGTTGTCGTTGCATCTTGACCTGGATGGGTAGATGACCAGGCTTAGTAATGGATAGATTTCAGCAGCCTTTCAAATGTTCCCAGCACTGTAGACAAACCTATCCACAAGATGCTTGAAGACAAGCATTTTACCCTTGTTCTGCTTGACCAGGCATGGGTCTGAAGGGCTGCCTTAGTACAACATTGAACCAGTGGCTCCCACAATCCTGGATCAGGACTGACTGACTAGGTTGCCTCTACATGGACTAGAGTAACAGCCCCCCCCCATCTACCCTCTTCTGGTCAGAGATGGCAGGGGGTGTGTCTGTTTTAAAAGCCTTTGCTGTCTGAGCCTCTTGTCCTCTGTGGGTGAAGTAGTTTAAGGAGTTGAATAATTCATTAGCTAAACTTCAAAGTAAAATGTGGAACATCTTAAAAGCAGAGACAAGAAGACTGCAAGGGGTTTTTCTTGACTTGGGGAGGTAATTGCTGGCAGCTTAGCTGGGTTTGATTTGTTAAGAGCTGTTAGAGGGAAATACAAGTAACATCTCTTCTTGGAGAAGGAAAATACACTGGCCATCCTGCAGTTTGACCTCAAGACTTGGTTGGTGTAGTCTCATCTGGCATTCTGACAAATAATGGTTAAGAATGGAAACAAAGCTCTAGGTAGGAGTTACAGGTAAAGTGTAGCCTGTCTGCAAAGACCGAGCATGTAGAGTCAAGTCTGTTTGGAGACTAACACTGCTTCTCAGTGGCTTGGCTTCAGAAGTGAAACTGCGATATGAAATCTGCAGAAACTGTAAGCAGTGTTCCCTCTAAGCTATGGAGTCTTGTGAGCAAAAATTCTGCTTCGTGAGCTACTGGCATTAAAGTTGTGAGCAAGCGATTTGGCTACTGCATAAATCAGTTTGCTCTGGAGCTGTCCTTCTGGAGCTGAGACAAAAATGTGTGAGCCGGAGGCTAAAAAACTGTGAGCTAGCTCACACTAACTCAGTTTAGAGGGAACAGTGATGTAAGTATTCCAGAGAATGGGGTCCTTCTGTGTTGCTTCAGATTAAGCCACCTCTTTCAGAGGCTTCTGATCAGGAGGTGGCAAACTTAAGAGTTTCTTACCCATATGCTGCCCTTGATTGATAGCAACTGTAATAACAGGCAGTTTTTTCCAAGATGGGTAGCTATGTTAGTCTGTCTGTGGCAGTAGAAAAGAGCAAGAGTCCAGTAGCACCTTAAAGACTAGCAAAATTTGTGACAGGGTATGAGCTTTCATGAGTCTGAAAAAATGAGCAGTGACTCACGAAAGCTCATACCCTGCTGCCACAAATTTTGTTAGTCTTTAAGGTGCTACTGGACTCTGGCATTTTTTCATGCACGAAGGGCCTTGCAGCCTTTAACATCTTTTGCAAAGCAGATCCCTGTTTTCTGTGGCTTCTACTAGTCCCACCTGGTGAATCTGTGGCTGAGCTGGCACGTGTCTTTTGGTGGCAGCAACACTGTAGTCCAGCCAGTAGATGGAGCCCAGTTGTACCAAGGAATAAAGTCAGAGGCCACTTAGAAAAGTTCTGAACAGCTGTGCACAAACACACCTGCTGCAGCATTTTTCAGGGGGGAGGCTGAGCTTGGTTTCCTCCTGCTTTCACAATTCAGTCAGCACACAACTTATTTGAATGCTGGTTTGGTCAATGGTTTTGTCACTTCCTTATACTTTGAGTGTGCTGGCTGCCTTTTAAAAAACAATTTAATGAACATAATACTGTACAGTCAACACCTTTACAAAACTGCTCTGAGGAAGGGAAGGGATATTTGATTTCACAGGCCCCAGCCAGTCAACACTATGCAGGCTAGCAGAAACAGTTTGCCCAGAGCTTCATCCAAGAGAAAATGTTTTCCTTTAATCAGAGCAGGGTGTTTTCCTCTGCATGCACTAGACCTCCTGTAGAGCAAAAGTGCAGAACTCATTCCTGAACCACAGTAGTAAAAATGGCTCTTGATGTGCCTTCCTTGTACAAATTTCCTGCTGGTGCATTGCCCCCAAGGCTGCCGCAGGAGTTCAGATGACATGAGCCTTTTCCCTAATCCCTAATAGGTGGTAGCCTCACCACATCCTGCAAAGGATTCTCAGGAGTGGGAAAGAGAAGAATGGGGTATGCCCCATGATCTTAGCTTTCCTTGGGTCCAAATATCCAAAGGAGGAGGACAATGTAAGCCACAGTCATTCTTTTCAGCACTTTTCAATTTTTTGTTTTGGGTGGAGAGAGAGAGCAGTCTTCCATTTCCCTGCTTGCCCTGTTTTCAGTTCCTTTTTTTAAAAAATGAAGTTTTATTAGTTTATATATAGAAAGGGGAAAAGGGAAAAGAAAGAATACAGAGTTATATATATTAAAAAAAGATTTTAAATTCTGCATGCAAATCTTCTCATAAAAGTTTCACAACTATTATAACTATCTTTCTTATTGTTCTTCATTTAGTCTTAGTTTCTCAGTATTTATGCTTTAACCAGTCATAGAACAACCTCCATGGTCCCATAAATTTTTCTTCCATTTTTCCTTTTAGTATATTTGTCAATCTGTCCATTTCAGCACATTCCACTGTTTTCAGTTCCTGACCAGCTGCTTTTGTATTCCCTTTTCCCCCCAGCAATCCGAGAAGACGGCATGCCAGGAGGCAGGAACAAGAGCATTGGGCCTGTCCAGGTGAGCTAGCTGTCTGGGTGCCTGAATCCAGCTTTCCTCTGCTGGCCTGTTGTCTCTTCTCTATACCCAGGCTCTGTTAGTAGGCCTCTTAACAAGTGGGAAGTTGTCTGTTTCAATGCTGTGGTCCTATTGATGCCACTGGCATTTCAGGAGGCCAGATTTCCTTTGGATTGCTCCTGTTATGTTCAAGGAGGGGAACCCCTTTTCTGTTCTGTAGCTCCCTGCCCTTTGATAGCACCATGCCACCATGGCTAGCTGTGCTGGACAGAGCCATGATTTGTGAGAGGGAGAAGCAGGGTACCTCGTGCTTGGGTTTCTCTTTCTTTACTTTCCTTTTTCAGCTTCCTCTGTTTGTGCATCTTGGCAAGAAGGAAAGCCACTTAGTGCTAATTTTTCTGAGTTTGACATATGTAGAATAAGGGTAGGGTGGGTGTGGTTTTTCAGCCTCACATTTTGTAGTAGTGTTTCAGCTCAGCTTCCGGGTATATGGAACCATCCCAACCCTGTCATGGATTTCTCTCAACCGGCTCTGCAAATCAGCTGACAATCTCTTCAGCACTGGAGCAGTCCTTCCGTCCTTCATCAACCTACAAAGTCCTTCAGTCCCTGCTCTCCATAAATCTTTCTGTGCTCACAGCACAATTTCTTAAGTTGTTGCACGTGGGGAACCCAGTAAATGTCTTGCTGATTGATGAGCTGGCTTGTTGGGAGATGTCTTGTAAAATGCTTGGTAATTCAGTGCAATAGCTTTTGCAGCACAAGTGAGAAATGATTGCCACTTTCCAGATGGCCACCAGAAGGGCTGCTTTGGAAGGCAGAGAATGCTTTTGCATTTGATTTTTAATGTGGCAGCAAAATGGTCCTACAGAATGAGGAGTGATGCCTCTTGCGAAGCTCAGGTTCTTTCTTTGACAAATCAACATGGGTAGTCTTGTTAGTCTGTCTGTAGCAGTAGAAAAGAGCAAGAGTCCAGTAGCGCCTTAAAGGCTTAACGAAATTTATGGCAGGGTGTGAAGTTTAATGAGTCACTGCTCACTTCTTCAGATATAGGTAGAATGTGAGTCCATCTGACCTATATATTGGAAAGTGATTTCAGATGCCGAGTGACATTAGCAGGTGAATGACAATAGCAGCCGTGATTGGATTAGGTGTGATATGCAGAGGGGGGGGTAGGCATGGAGATATCAGTATTGGTAATGAGACAGGAAACCTAAGTCTCAATTAAGTCCAGGTGATGCATTGTCTGGAGTTTATTATTAGTTGCAGTTCAGCACTCTCTCTCTTTCTAATAGCCCTTTGAAATTCCTTTGTAAGAGAACTGCTACTCTTAGGTCAGCAACTGAATGTCCTGGAAGTTAAAAGTGGTCCCCCACTGGTTTTGGAATGTTGTGGTTTCGAATGTCAGACTTATGTCCATTAATTCTTCCTTGAAGAGACTGGCCTTTTTGTCCAATGTAAAGGGGGGAAGGGCATTGCTAACACATGATGTGATAAGTCACATTAGAGGATGAGCAGGAGTATGAACCTGAGATGGTATGGCTGATGTTGCTGGGTCCACTGATGGTAATACTATTAACTACTTAACAGTAACATGGACTCTGGTATCAAGGCCTGCAACAAACCAAGATGCCAACTTAGCTCTCATATAGATCCTAGCAACACCATCAGTGGACCCAGGTTTCCTTTCCCATTACCAATATTGATTTCTCCATGCCTTATCCCCCCCTCTGCATATCACACCTAATCAAATCACGCCTGTAATTCACCTGCTATTGTTATTTGCCTGCTAATGTCATTCGGCATCTGAAATCACTTTCCAGTATATAGGACAGATGGACTCACATTCTAGCTGCATCTGAAGAAGTGAGCACTAACTCATGAAACCTCACACCCTGCCACAAATGTTGTTAGTCTTTAAGGCTCTACTGGACTTTTGCTCTTTTCTTTGACAAGTGATGCTTTAGCCTTTTTCCAGAGACACAGACTTTATCTTTGTACTAACAGGAATTCCTGAGGGATTAGTCTACTGGTTACTGGGGGGTAGCTCTGAGGAGCAGTTCTCCATCTTAATGACGCATAAGAGTCAGCTGCCAACAAAGTCACAGGCTGAAACCTGACCCAAAGCGGAGCTGATGGACAAGATTTGCTGAGTGGACTTCGTGCTTCAGTGTTGATAACTTTAGGGTAATAAACATAGCACTGGGGGAGGCAGAGATACCAGGGTGGTTGCAATCCTGTTGAAATTATATGGCTGCTTGTAGCAAGGAAGGCTGCTGAGTGCTCTTGAGACTCTTCTGAGAGAGGCAGAAAATATAATGCCACATATGCAGCCAGGTGCCACTGGCATGGGACCGTGCGAACTGCTTTGTGGGAAGCTGTCTGCATCCATCCTTTTAGTTACCCTTACTGGTGTCCTGTGGCTTGGTGGGATTTTGTGTTTCCTGGCTTCCTTCCAGAGAAGTCTGTGCATGCTCCCTGAGGGCTGACCAACACTTGTCTTCTACCGGAGGAAAAGAAAGGAGACAGGATATAAACTGTTGGAGGGAGGGCAGGGGAGGCTTAACCGTTCTGATGTTTGCAAGGCCCGTGGCTTGATTGAGCAGCCAGTAGAAAGTCGTGTGATCCAGCTGTAATTCTCTGCTGTGCTTCATTTCAATCTTCAGCCCTGTGGAAGCCATGGCTTAATGTGGCAAGCAAACAGAGGAGAGAGGTTTTGTTTCTGTGTTGCTGTCCCTGGCCCAGACATCTGTGTATTTCCAAAAGCATCTCTGCAAGGATAAGGCAGGGAAGTCACTTGTTTCTAAACCACAGGGGATGTTTGTGTCCAGAGCTTTTATTGTCAACAGCAAGAAATGCTAAGCAGTCCTCACACTCTCTGTCCTAGAAGTTTCTCCCCCGCCTATCCCATCATGTGGGAGTTGGTCATCAACTATTCTGTAGGAAGGGAAAGCTTCATGGCTGGGTCCAAGTGAAATGAAGCCCTGAATTCTGGTCCTGGAGCTGCTTTAGAATGCATGGTGAAATGGTTGGTCCTGCTTGGCTTCAGAAAACAGCAGCCTTAACTGCAGCCTGTTTCTTTTCTCTCTAAAAGATATCCGAGGAAGAGATTGAGCGCATCATGTCTGGGCAAGAATTCGAAGGGGAAGCCAATATCTCTTGGAGCAACAACGGGGACAGTGACAACAGCTCTCCTGGCAACGGGGTGTCTGAGAGCAACCAGCCCTCCCCTGTCTCAACTCCATCTTCAAGGTGGGACTTGGGAGAGGGGCAAAACATTCCTGGTTTGGCTAGGTAGGGTGGGGCAGTTTTTACTTGCATCTGCCTGATACCTCAGCAAGGTCTCTTCTTTTGCTGATTTGTACTGTGCCTTCCCATGCATAGGCAGTCTGTGTTGTATGCTCAGGATGAAAGAGGGTGTTTGAAATGAAAGTAAATTGATATGTACTGTGGGCTCCTGCACTTTGCAAGGTTTTCTTCTGAAGTGGAGTCACCTGGTCAAGCTTCTTCCCCTTTAGTCTCTCACAGCTGCCCTGTATTTTCCAGTAGGTCTGTGGAGCTGAATGGGTTCACTGCACTCAGGGATCAGTATATTGGGACGCCAGTGTCTGCACACTATCAGTACCTTCCGCACCTTCTGAGCTGCCCAGCTCACACTGCTCTGCTGCCCCCTCAGCCCCGCAGCCTTGACCCTCAGTCTCACGGCCTCCTCATCAGCCAGCTGGTGTCAGCAGAGGACCTGGAGCCCTTGAGCACCCCAATGCTGATTGAAGATGGGTGAGTGTCTCCCCCCCCCCTTGCTGCAGGGCTTGGCTTGCTTGCATGAGCTGCCTGGAGTGCGTGAGTTCCCTGGCTTGCAGAAAGCCTGTGGCAGCCTGTGGAACCCATTTCTTTGTACAGATGGGGTGGGTGGCTCTCTGGTCCTTCCTCCTCCGAAGACAAGGGCTGGAGACCTTTTAGTTTCTGGAATTAAATGGAAGGCACATAGTAACTGATCTTTGTTTAAAAATAATTCACTGAGATTTCTTGGCACAAGCAAGGGTTGCCATGTTGGGCTCGGGGGGTGAGAAGAAATCAGGGAATAAGAAGCCACCTTGGGGTTGAGCTCAGAAGTGCTTGCAAGGGACACAGACGATTGCCGTGCCAGTTTCCTTTGTTGGCTTGCCAGACCTGGTCAGTGGCCCAAGACCAGCTCTGAAGTTCTCCTGTCCCCCATAGGAGTGCGGCCTGACAGTCAGATGGGTCAGTCCCAGTTGTCACCACTGGGGGGTGCTGCCATCAACTGGAGCCTGTTCTCCGTTGAACGTTAGCTGCCTGTTTTGCTTTTCTGACACAACGTCTCTCTCTCTCTCTCCTCTGACTGCTCCTGCAGGTACAAGGTGACTCAGGCTGAGCTCTTTGCGCTGCTCTGTCGGCTGGCAGATGAGCTGCTGTTTCGGCAGATAGCCTGGATCAAGAAGCTGCCCTTCTTCTGTGAACTTTCCATCAAGGACTACACTTGCCTCTTGAGCTCCACATGGCAGGAGCTGATCCTGCTCTCCTCCCTTACGGTTTACAGCAAGCAGATATTTGGGGACCTGGCAGATGTGACTTCCAAGTACTCTCCCTCGGATGACGAGCTGCACAGGTGAGGGGGGAGAGGCAGCTCCAGCCTTTATGTGTTTGTGTGGGGGGGGTAACTCTGCTGTTGACTCCCCAGCTGGGCTTAGGATAGTCACTCTGTATTGCCCCAGGGATACCCAAGTTCTGCTGTAGCAAGAAGGAAGGAGATAAAGCATGGTTCTGCCAGACACAGTTGCAAAAGAGCTGAAATTGCTTGGGGTAGGTCACAAACACCCTCCTCTGTGGGAGCAGAGAGATGTTGTCTCCAAGGCAGCCTCCTTCCTGGTGTTTTTTGGAAGGGACTTTCCGTTTTCAGAGCTAATTGAGCCTCCAACATAACAGGAGGTCTCCATGTCTATAGCACCATAGAAAGAGGGGCTTTCCTCATGCTTACTTTGTAATTTTTCATACACATGCAAATGCAGGATTTAAGTATGCAGAGTGCTTTGGATACATCATCTCAATAATATAGCCAACTAGAGATGTAAAATTTCCGGAAATTTTGAAGCTCGGGAAAAAACCCAGGTTTTTTCTGTTTTTTTCTGGGAAAAAACGGAAATTTTCGGAAAAATTGAAAAAATGCTACATTAGCATTTCTTTTGTCTTTTCTAGATTGAAAGTCATTCTGTTACTTTAGGAACATAAAATATGACTATGGACATTTTTACTTGGCATGAAATTATCACAACTAGCATATTAAAAATATAGTGTATCCAAACAATTATTACAAACAGAATACCCACCCACATGCAAAAACAAAACTGAAACCTTTTTATTTTCTTCTGACAATAGCACCTCCTAAAGGAAGAAATGCATCTTGTTCTTGCATTTGGAGAGTTCAGTTTGTAACCTAGGACTTGCTTGTCCTCAGTGCACAGAAATTAGATCAATCTGATACCATATATATATATTTTAGAAATGATTTGGAAAATATTTGAACACCTTGTCTTAAAATATTTTATTCATCATGTTAAAACAAAACATTCCATAATCAATTTTTTTTTCTTTTCTTTTTTCAATTTTCTTTTCTTTTTCCAATTTTTCGGAAAAAAACAAAAAAGGCTTCAGGAAAAAAAACGGGGGGGGGGGAACGGTTTTCCCCCCGAATTTTTCCATTTTTTTCCCGGGCCTTCACATCTCTATAGCCAACTGCCTAGTAAAGTGAACCAGGATGATTAAACACATATAACAGATTGGGAGGAAGGAGGTGCTCAGTCTGAGAGGGGATGGCTTGCATAAGACCATTGACTGAATACCAGCAAAGCTGCAGTTCCCACTTACAGGTCATGTTTCTCACCAATGTACTTCCGCATTGGGAAAGCACCAACTCCTGTAGCTTAGGAGGAATCTGGGAATCTTCACCCTCTCCTTTGAGTGAGGGGTGCTTGGCTTTCCTTTGCTCTGCTTTTTCATCCCATGAGACTTCTGAAAATCCCTTGTCAGAGCTCTTTTGCCTCTAATTCTGGGTGGAGATAGAAATTAACTTACTGCTAGCCATGTTCTCCCAAAGCAAGTGACTCCCAGGACTCAATTTTGGGCCTTGGAAGTAACGGGGCATTTGCCACTTCCCAGCATCTCAGAATGAAGACTTGGATTGCAGAACAAAAGTCCACTTGGCCCCAGGTCTGAGGTTATTTTCCATGGCATAAATTTTGAACAGCCTGGCCTGACGACATGGTTAGCTGATGCTCCCAGTGGCCCTGCTGGCAATCATTCATTTGGCAGGGGGGAGGGGGTGTTTCTAAGTGCCAAACTATCTTGTTTGGATAGATACTCCCAGTGGGAGCCCCCCCAATCACCTGGCATTTGATTCTCTCCAGTTTGATGTGCCATCCTGTGCAGATGCCAGGATCTCCTTATTAGGCTAACAGAGGACCTGGCTGCTATCTTTGCACAGTGGCATTGGGGGAAAGCCCATCTGAACTCTTAACTTGGGGCATGTACTTTCATCCCCCTTCCCCACAAGTACGTTGAGAAAATGTCAGTTGGGGCTAAGATCAAGGAGGGATGAGGCATTGTAGAGGTTTTCCATGTGAACAGGCTCTGTCCCTTGCGTGCAGACATTTTCATATTTAGGTCTCTTGCTATGACGCATGAGGCTTAATTCCCACACACTCACACGCAGCCCTCTGTCCCTTCTCCCCTTCCTGGTCTCCTTCTGAATCCTTGACCTGCAACACTTTCAGCTGCCTTGAAACTCCTACCCTCTCTAAATCAAATCCTGTCTGCCTATCCGCCCCCCACTTGCCTCTCTGTAATATGGCTCCAAATTTATAGCATCTTTTTCATCTAATCCACCTCTTATCAGGAGTTTTGTTATTTAATTCCAGATTGTTGCACCAGTCACAGCCTGGCTCTAATGAGCACTGCCATCTTCAGAGGTGACTGAACTCACAGAAACGCAACCAACCTGGGCCTGTTTCACGTGTTAATTTTTCCAACATGGGACATCTATACAGGCCTAGCCTCTGAAAGCACTGAAATGCTGGTTATGTACAATTAAAGCTCCACACAGAACTAAAACCTTTTGGTGCTCATTGAGTTATCCCATAGCTTGTTCTTGCACCTGCAGGGTCTCTGCTTTCGGGGCAAGCATAAAGAACCTTGGGCCACTCTGCTGAGATTAGCGATCAAGGCAGGGTTCATCATGCCCCAGAATGCTTTCCCAAGAGCTGACCTGCAAATTACGCAGCAGCTTTGCTTTCTCTTCACAGGAGCTAAATCCCACCCAAGTATTTTTGGGGTGTGCCAGGAGTAGGGTCCAGAACCTTCATATGTCAGTAAAACACCTTGCTTGATTCCTCATATGTGCTGTCTTTGAGGAACATTACCTGGCCTTAAACTATCTTGCTTCTTTCCCAGTGGGGTCCTAAGGTGACTTGCAGCATTGTTCTTCCTGTTTTATCCTCTCAACAACCCTGTGAGATAGGTTAGGCTGAGGAAGTGAGTGGCCCAAGTGACCCAGTGAAGTTCCATGTCAGATTCAAGCCAGAGTCTCCTAGATCCTCATTTAACACTCTCTAACTACAAGATGTTGGCACTGTAGCTTGTTAGCTTCTCTCTGTATACAGACATTTGCATTTAAAATCCCGCTGGGATTGTTTCTCTGTATTGTGTAGACATTGGAGCTCTTTGATGTGTTCCTCCAGGTTCTCACTGTCTCTGATGCAGCTCCTCTTACGGCAGCTGTCTGTTTCTTTCTGTGGCTCTCTGCTTGCATGGTAGGAACTGATGGGTGCCCCAGATGGTCCTTTCCCTGTCCAGGGCTAAGCAGTTTCTCTTCTCCACTGTTTGGCTTCCCTGCTGCGTTCATGCTCCGTGGAATGTGAGGAGAGGAGGATGAAGAGGTAGGGGAGGGCTCAATTCACTGCTGCAGGTGTGAAGAGGATTTCAGCCCCCCCCCCCAGCCCCTGTATTATACATTCTTTCCCTGGGACTGCCCAGGTATGAGTCCATTTCCTCTTAGCTTTCAATGTACCCACTTCCGTAGAGTGGGTTTTAATTTAACTGTCTCACACACCTGAGGAATTGCAGCTGTACAAGCCCATTAGAAGGAATCCTTGGCAGGTGGTCTCTTGCTTTGGAGTCCCTTGGTCTGGAGTTCGTGCTGAAAGTGCCCTGGAGCTCTCTGACACGGGCTTGTCTTTCTGGGGATTATTAGGAAGGGACCTGAAAACAAATCAGCCAGTATCGTAGTGCCCCTGTATAAATCCATAGTGCGACCTCCTTTGGAGTACTGTGTACAGTTCTGGACACCACGCCTCAAAAAGGATATTATAGCATTGGGAAAAGTGCAGAAAAGGGCAACTGGAATGATAAAAGGGTTGGAACACTTTTCCTATGAAGAAAGGTTAAAGCACTTGGGGCTCTTTAGCTTGGAGAAACGACGGCTGAGGGGAGACATGATCGAGGTTTTTAAGATTATGCATGGGATAGAGCAGGTCAAGAAAGAAGTACTTTTCTCCCTTTCTCACAATACAAGAACTCGTGGGCACTCAATGAAATTGCTGAGCAATCAGGTTAGAACAGATAAAAGGAAGTACTTCTTTACCCAAAGAGTGATTAACACATGGAATTCACTGCCACAGGAGGTGGTGGTGGCTACAAGCATGGACAGCTTCAAAAGGGAATTAGATAAGCATATGGAGCAGAAGTCCATCAGTGGCTATTAGCCACAAGGTATAGATAGGGACTCTTAGACTGGGGCAAGTGATGCACTGTATTCTTGGTGCTTGGGGGGGGCAACAGTGAGAGGGCTTCTAGTGTCCTGGCCCCACTGCTGGACCTCCTGATGGCACCTGGTATTTTTGCCCACTGTGTGACAGAGTGTTGGACTAGATGGGCCATTGGCCTGATCCAACATTGGCTTCTCTTATGTTCTTATGCTCTCTTCCGTTCAGATTCAGCGAAGAGGGGATGGAGGTGATGGAGCGGCTTATCTACCTGTATCGCAAGTTCAACCAGCTGAAAGTCAGCAATGAGGAATATGCATGTATGAAGGCCATTAACTTCCTCAATCAAGGTGAGTGCAGCTAAGAGGCTTTCCTTGCCAGCCCAAGTAAGTGCTGGTCCCTTTGTAGTCATCTCTGTTGTTCTTGGAGACCTCAGTGGCACGTTAGCCATGTACCTCCTCCCCTGGTTTTAAAATTGGGACTAGGAACTGGCCAAATGAGGTTTGTGGAGGAGGTGTAGTCAACAACCTTTTTTATAGCGTACAAGATAAAGAGAGACAACCCCAGATAAAGGTAGCCGAAAGGAATCTTTTTTTTTTAAGTTGCCTCTTTTTAATTATTCTCTTGCCTGAAAGGTAAGCCCAGCTGACTTTGCAGAGAGAAAAACAGATTCTAAGGCTCTAGATGACCTTGCATTGCCCAGAAACTTGGTGGGGCACACAAACATTTCAGCATACATGCTGAATCATTTGGGAGCAGTGGTCATCTGGTCTGGCGTTCTCTGATCCTCCCTGCCATACTCCTTCTGCCTTTGTGGGTTGGCTGCCGAGAGATGACTTTATAGCGGGGTTTTGTGGGGGTTTTTGCCGTATTTGCTGCACAGTTTCAGTGGCTCCAGCAGCACCATGCTGTAGGACCATTTCTTCTCCGAGTGCTGAGAGTGTAGGGGAATCCTCTGAACGTTCACCTTGTTTTCAGTTTAACCAATCAAAAGGCAGGATTTTGAGCCCTGGCTCATGGGCAGTAGAGGTGAAAAACTGGGGGCTTTCTGCTGACTTGCCTATTGTACCCTTCCTTTCTTGGGCAGTTCCCCAGCAAGCAGCAAATGCACTCTTCCTGTAGTCCGTTCTTTGGTTTTGATAGTTTTCATGGTATATTTTTATTTATTTGCCTTTCTTACAAAAGCCAGCATCATGGTTCTGTCTCCTTTGTCCTACCCCATCCCAGCAGTCAACTGCATAACAAGAAACCTGGCCTAGACAGCAGAAGAAGGCGGCTGCACTTGAGGGCTCAGTCTGTGCTTCTTGCCCCTAGCTGGTCAAGCTAAATTTCAGGAGAGCCAGATCAGAACTGGCACTGGTGTTAGCTGGAAAATGGTGCACTACCGCATTGGGGGGGGGGGGGGGCTGAGAATTGGAAGAAAAGGGCAAGTAAAACTGCTAATGCTAATATATGACAGACTTGCCACATTTAAAATGAGCAAATAGCCTATTCTGAGCATTTCCTTCATCAGGTATTGATAACGTCGCTGAAGAATGTTCAGACTTCCAGACCACTATAAAGAGGCATAAGTGCTTTAAGGAACAGTTGGAAATGTTTAAAACCACGAGATCCTACATATTCTCTCTATCTAGTACTGCTCTTACAGCTGTAGCAGAAGAAATCCTATATATTTACATTACTTCACTTAATGCTGACGGGGGGCGGTATTGGAAGAAAACCTGACTTGTGGATTTGAGGAAGTATACACAAAACCTAATATCCGGGGCAAAGATTTTTGAGAAATCGCAGCGTCTTAGAGTAGCCTTAGTTAGTGAGAAAGATTTCCCCCTCTCAAAACAGTGCCTGAGCCTTGTCAGACAAGGACGTAGATGGAAAAGAAGAGTTTAAACCAGGGTGGGGCACCTGTGAGCACATCCTCTGCTGCCCCTCAGACAATCTTGCACTTCCATCTCTCTTCAGATTTATGCAGAACTGTGGTAAACTGGCTGCATCTGAGGAAGTGTGCATGCACACAAAAGCTGATACCCACCTAGTTTTGATACTGAAATATCGGAAAGCTTCTATATCAGCCATATCCCAGACAAAAAAAAATAATTCTCTTCTTCCCTGTCCCCCCAACTTGCCACTGCTGCATGAATGAAGGGAAGTAAGGCTCAGGGCTGCAGGCCTCAACCAGGCAATAGCTGGTGTCTCGCTTTTTGCGGGGAGTAGTTTTGTGCGCGCCCGTGCCTGGAAGTCATGGTGACCTTTGACAACTCTTACTGGGGCATGGAGGACATTCTGATAACCTGCCTCTGGCCTCCGGGCCCTGGTACTCTCTGGAGGTCTCCCATCCAAATACTTGCCAGGGTCAGCCCTGCTTAGCTTCCGAGATCCACCGAGATTGGGCTTGCCTGGCATATCAAGGTCAGGGCCATAACTGGTGTCTCTTTAGCTGCTCTGTCCAAAGTCTCTTACTCAGCTGGCAGAAGTTTCTTCCAGAGGCTCAGTTTCCTTGGAAATAATCCATGTGTCAACTGGCAGAGTTTACCTAGGCATTCAAAGCAGTTTTGAAATCCTTTGCTGTTGACCCTTGTATTAACCGGTATTGTAGTTACTGATGGTACCTAGATAGGATGAAGACCAACTTTCCTACTAACGTAGCTTCTTCTGCACTCAGATATCAGAGGCCTGACAAACACATCCCAGCTGGAACAGCTGAACAAAAGATATTGGTACGTCTGCCAGGATTTTATGGAGTTCAAGTACCCGCATCAGCCGAACCGCTTCCCAGACCTGATGATGTGTCTGCCAGAGATACGCTACATTGCAGGTAAGTCTCTGTCTTCCATAACCAAACTTGAAAGCCAAAAGAGCACATTGACTCTCCACCAGCCCATCACTACCTTTCTGGCTGCAAGGAGCTGCCCACCATTTTGGCTCTTGCATGGGGGTGGGGTGGGGTAGCATACTCAGCCAACCCATAACCATCCCTGCCCCTTTTGTTTGCAGGTAGCTGGGGAGGGCCCTTGTCTGTTTTTAAATGTTGCTAACTGGGTGATGCATTTCCTGGAACATTTGTGCAGTCTCAGTTAATAGAAGTGGGCTAGTGTTAAAAAGGGTGGCTGACAATCCATAACCCTGGCTGTGGGGTAACTCATTTGGGTTCTTGCCTTGACAGGGAAAATGGTGAATGTCCCTCTGGAGCAGCTGCCCCTCCTGTTTAAGGCTGTTCTTCATTCCTGCAAGGCCAGCATGAGCAAAGAGTGAGCTCTCGTTGCACCCCTACCCATCTCTTACTCTGGTGCCTCCGGCGAGGGGAAAGAGGAGGAGCCCACGGCCCAGCCAGTTGGGAAAGGCCGTGGCAGGGCAGTGGGTAGCCTTGCCATTGTAGCAAGAATCTTTTTTTAACCTCGTTTCCTATAATATTTATTTCACGACAGAGTTGAATGTATGATCTTCAACACAGCGTGTTCTCTCGCAGTTTACAGAATGTGAAGATGTTTGTTGCAGTGTTTTAGGGTTAGATCTTTTGTACTGGGGGGAGGGTGGGCTGGGATCGATGACTAAGACTACCTCAAGGAGAAGGTGCTGTTCAGGAACTGCTCTTTCTGTGGGCCACACCCAAAGCGTTTATCCCATCGGGCAACTAGCCATCGTCTGCAGCCAGAATCTGTTCTGCCCTAGAGAAATGCCAAGCTAAAGAGTGGGCACGGCTGGTCATTTCCTGTCGCCCCTCATTTCCTTTGCTGCAATAAATAGTCCATAGAACCTCCCTAGGTGGCTCTTCAAGTATCTCCCCTCCCACACACACACACGCATTACACAGTCTTCCTTTGTTTTGCAGTCCCTGCAAGTGCTCCATACCTGGCAGCCGTGTTTCCCTATGTTTACTATGCAGGGGTGTGACTGCAAGAAGGAAACATGGCAGCTGGAACAAAAGGTGATAGGTTATAAGGTATGCTCACCTGCCTTGCAGGTTGCAAAACATCGTAACAGCTTGGCTACTGAAAGGGCTTAGCCAGGCGTGCACACACCAAAAAGCTTGAGGCATATTGCTTGAACTGCAGAAGCCTATCTCATCCACTACCAACTTTTAAAGCTGCAGAGCCCTCCAGGCATCCCTCCAGACCCCAGACCCTTTTGCAAGCTGATGCTTGGCACATCTCTAGGGTTGAATCGGATGCAGGCTGGTATGGGAATGCAGATGGACAAGGCATACTGAAAAGTGAACATGCCTTGGGCCTAGCAAAATGCCTCCTCCATCTTTGGCTTTGGGCGCTCTCCCATGGGATGGAGCCTGACTTGGCTACACCAAGGAAAAGCTCACTTTGTTGATCTTCCCCACAATGGTTTTGCTGCTGATGCTGCTGATTACCAGCAAAGTGAAAAACGGGTAACGGCTGTTGCTGGGACCAGATTTGTTGCTTCGTGAACCTTCAAACTGGAGTCACGATCCCTTTGCTTTTTTCCTGTTGGTCCAAATAACATTTTTCTCAGGAAGGCCTTCTGCTTTGACACACTATACCTCAAAGGGCAGTGGGAAGATTGGAACATGTTCTCTGTGTGTCTGCCTGCCTGCCAGAACATGGTCATATTTTTATTTTTATTTTTGCAAAGAGCTTTCCACAATTTGGCTAGTTATCCTTTGGCTTGCTCGTGTTCATCAGGGATACTTATATTGCACAAATGGAAGCTCAACCCACACTGTTGATGGCTTTTCTCAGCAGTTCTACTAAGAGTTGTTTTTTAAACTAACATATCTGTGACCACATATTTGTCAGAAGCCCTCCCCACCTTTGCCATCTTTCCCCTGCCTCCAAACATATTTAGAAGGGGACTTGACTTAGGATGAGCACATCATACTAGTCTGCCTTTAGCAGCTGGAGCTATTGGGGGGGGCAGAGGGGAGGTTGCTGGCCATTGTCTCAGCTCATTCTTTTCAGCGTTAGCAGCAGCCTCCACTGACAAAGACTGTTTATGTCTGGGAGCAGAAAAGCCAAGCTGAATCCACAACGCGAGCCAGAGGCTAATGTAGCAAGCCAGAAGGTAACTTGTTGGGCTGTCATTAATGCCTCCTGCAACCAAGTCTGCTAACGACTTGGGAGTTTGAAACAGGGTAAAGTGAATGTAATGCATTGCGGACTCAGGTATTATGTGAAGAAAATAGGACTGTAGCTAGAGGCGTAGAGACCGTAGGTCACTCACTAGATGGATTTGTGAATTTGGTTTGAAGGACACCCTACAAAGGTTGGAAATTTTTTTTTGTACCATTCTTCACTCACCAGTCATTTTGCAAGAGACCATATAATTTTGTGCTGAATGCTTGGGGGGGGGGGCACAGAAGAACAACTGACATCCATTATCTTTGGCTTTCCCTTCCTGGGCCTCTAGCTTTGAAAAATCCATCTGCCATAACAGGGTCCCTGCTAGTTTTTTCAACATTGTGGCCTAATTTTTATCACTTTCTTGGGGGGGGGGAGATGGGCTAGGCCACTTCCTCCCCCTCAGTAAAAACAAGGACCACTGAGTTGCTTCCCTAGAATGAGGCTGCTTCAGCTACCTCTTGGATCCAGCCAGCCACCCCTGTGGCACACCTCTCCCCCCAAACATATACCACATCCTCTTCAGAAGCTGAACAGGGAGACGGGATTCCCCTTTGCCATTCAAGTCCAGTCCTTCAAACCAACTTTTTTTGTTGTTTATAAACTTGAACTTCTTTTATCTTTATTTTATTTCTAAAGGAAAACAAACCAAAAAAGGTGGGAGGGGGAAGATCCAATGGCCCTCTTCCTCCTGTAACCGTGGCTGTCACCGTCTGTCCCTCTTTTGGTTTGATTTTTGGCTCCAATGCAACCGGGTCTGTGGAAACCAAGATGGAGGCGCTTCCTCTTTCTCAGGCTTTTTAGTGGCAATCAGCCCTGCCCAGCGAGGCAGGAGGGGAGGGAGGGGGCGGGGCAATTACCTGAAGGATGAAGCTGTTTTTGCATTGTAGAAGATATGTGAATCCAAGGTGACATCCCATCCGATGACGCCAGCGGTGGCTGGCCACGAAGTTTCTCTGAGTTCTTGTGTACAACTTGCGTTGCACACTGAAGCTCAGGGATATGTATTTAAATGCAACTCAGAGAAACCCCTGTGGCTGTCACTGCTCCAGGTAGGTTTCTTTCTTTTGCCTGTTTGGGGACTCCCTACACTCTGGCAACAGAATACAGGAACTGTTTTTTGGTGGCCAAGGAGGTTTTGGTCGCCCCAAGCAAGCCTGAGGAAGAAGCCACTGGCTGGAATAGAGAAAAGGCCCAAGTGGGCCACCGTGGACCTCAACTGAGCCTTTGTGATAGATGGTTTTTCTTTCCTATGTATGCAAATGTCTTGTACTAGTTGTTGATAACATTATTGACTCAGTTTCCATAACAAAACTACCTCTTGTGTGACATCCTGTTTATCATCTCAAAGGGATTGTGTGAAAAACAAAAACACTTTTCTATCTTTTAAAACATGCTGCTGCTTTACCTATTTGAGTGAAAACACCATAGGGAACAATATCTGTGTTGGGATTTTTCCTTGTTACACCAATTTTTGTTGTTGAATTGCACAGGGGCAGAGCATTCCACTGGGCATTCCAGTCTGTTTGGAAGGCTGAAGCTGCTGTTGACAATTGGAGGGAGTGGCAGCTGTGGGCAGGAGCTTCTCCCCAACAGCCTCTGTTTTCCTCTTAAATGACTGGAAGGTCTAGTGCCCTCCTGGCATGCTCCGTCCCTCCCATGCTCCTCAGAGAACTCACATCAGCATCAACTGTTAGGGTAGCTCGAGAATAAGCAGATATTGCTGTGGGGCAGTTCACCACCCCAGCCACTGGCTGAGGCTGTACCTAAACTTTGGCTGAAACACTCCACATTCACCCTCACTTGCACGCACCTGTCTGTAAGTTATCACAAGCACAACACGGCTACAAACTTCTCACCCTGCTCTTTGCATCTACCTCTTGGCCCACCTGTCTGCTGCCTACATCGTTCTGGGGCTCTCTAGCAGGAGGAGGAAAGGAGGATGTCAATTCCTTGACCGAGCTGCTCAAAATGCATTTTTCCCATAATCCCTTGTAATAAATCAGGGAAGCAGGATGTCACTGCAACATAACAAATAGTGAATGTTTAGCTGTTATGTTTTTAACATGCTTTTGGAGTGGGAGCCTTGGGCAGGCGGCGCAGCAGGGTGAAATCAGCCTGTAGTTGGCCAGGTGGACCTGCTGGTGCCTCCTTAGCACCGCAGTGTTCTCTCATTATGCTCTGACGAGTGAAAGTTGCTCCTGGCCACACTGCAGGTCCTGAACTTACTGCGTCCAGCTGCCTTGGCTTCCAGCGCTCCACTCTGTGACTTGACTACCTGTGGAAATGTGACCAATAAGTGTTAAACGCATGTTTAGCAAGTGATAGATATTTGAACTAATAAATGTGAACGGTTCTGGATCACCTGGCTCTCTCTCGTCTTCTCTGCTTGTCCTGTTTTCTGTATCACTTGGTTGGGCTCCTCCCTGTTCTACCTAGCTTCCTGTGGGAGCAATGCCACATTACGTGTGTGATGGGTGCAATGGGGTAGAGTGGCCTACAGGCTCTCAGGGATTTGGGTATGATGCTTCCATGCATACAGCAGCATTTGTCTCCTTGCTGTGTGTGTATGTGGGAGGTATATTGGTGGGAGGGGGGCACAACCTGGTGCTCTGGAAGAAAGTGTGCCCCCTTAGACTTCTCAGAAGGAGGGCTTTGGGAGCACATTAGTTCTGATATATTGAGGACATGCACCAGGTGGTGTGAAAGGAGTGAATTCTTTAGCCCCTGAAGGATATGCCTCTTGCTTTTAATAGCTGTTGCACAGCAAGAAATAAAACACCAAGCAACCAAACCAAAAAAGAAAAGCAGCCTTGACCAGTGCACTGTGGAGGGAAACAAGGAATCAATTAAAGATCTCTTGTGTCAGATGAGAGCGGCAAGCCGGTGAGGAGGGGCTTTGTATATTTAGATTTCTATACATCCTGGAGTGCATACATTAGGGTCCATTCAGCTGGAAGCGAGCCATGCAATCACAAAGGCAAAGGAAGCTGGTGTGTGTGTGTGTGTGTGTGTGTGTGCCTGCCTGCCACACAACTGATGGCAGCAGTATTGCCCAAGTGAGCAGCTGCTCCCCACCCATCCCAGCCTCCACAGCCTCCCTCCAGGCCT